AGGAGATTATTCCTCCCTTATTGTTCCTTCCAAGTCATACCTCCCTCTTCTCAAAACCCACTCATCCTCCCCTTCCCCCATGGGAACACCTTGTTCAATTTAAAAAACAAACCCTAACATGTTCCATAGACTTTCAAGACCAGCCACACCTATTGAAGTGAGGAAGAGTCTTATAACTAAATCCTTATATGCCACTCTAAAAATGAAAAATATTATAAAACGTATCAATTAAAAGTTTACATTAATAAAGCAATATACTTAGCAATGCAAATTCAGACTCTTCTGACTTAAATATTAAGTACTTACCTCATAGATATAATTTCTTCATAATCCCTCACAATATCTGATAAATTACACCTGTGCTTAATTTTGACAAGTTGCTTTATAGTTTGTTTTCTCATCTGCAAAAATAATACTTGCATTTTTTAATAAAAGATGGTATCTAAAAAATGAAATACATGGTCTCTCCATTATAGTCCTCTATGCTATAGAGCCTGAGATCTGACTAGGGTAGGATTTCTGCTAGCTAGTTTGCACAAGGCTGCTTACGCTGCACTTATCACGGCTGGAATGAAATAGGGAAGAAAGTTATAGCTATTCTTTTTTTTAGTGCAAAGAATAAGCAAGGCAGGCTAAGGAGGCCACCTTAGAGCAGAAGTGTCAAATGTATGGCCCATGGGCTTTATCTGGCCCAGTATGCTCCTAGAGAGCCACATATTTTGGGGGTGAGGAAGTGAGGCAGAGACAATTCTGTGGGGCACATTACCTCTTCTTAATCTCAGTTTGGGTGGTTTGGTTAGATATTTGAAGGCCCCTGGGAACAAAAAGCACAAATTCTTCACCCATATCTCCTTAAGCAAGGATGTTGACAAACTGCCATTATAAGTGGCTGAGAAGAATAAAATTAAAGTTCACCTTGTTATATTTTTCCTGTCTCCAAAATGTATAAATTCTCAACACTACTGGACTCCCATATGACAGCAACTATAATATCTATTAAAATGCCAACCTTTTAAATTTTAAAGTATGTAGGGTAGTATTACTTCAACAGTTGCTGAGCAGACTTGACTGATCAGCACCATACAGGACTGACTCCTTAGTCGGGATCTTATACAGTGTCACTCTGTTGCAACTGCAAACAGTACAGTACAGATAATGGAACATGGTGTCTCTCCCCTCTGTCACTGGTTGATTTCCTGTCAGTAGGGAACAGCAGTCAGCATCCATCTGATATTCAGTGTCCTCTATGAAATTAGTGGATGATCCAGTTGAGGACATATATCTGTCTCAACACAACTACCATCACAATTGACTCCCTCACTAGAAGCCTCAGAAAGAAACTTACCATCAAGAAGATGCTAAAACTAAACTGCACTTTCTCTCCAGAAAAGCTTTGAGGCTTTAACAATAAGGAATGAAATCTATACCAATGCTTCATGTATTCTGTTGTTCACTTTCTAATGCTGCATGTTAAGCACTTTCAGAAGCATTAGACTTACATTATACATGAAAAGAAAAGGCTTGTCATTTCTCATGGTCAACAGGATAATGTCAGTGTTTGTCATACCTTCCTTATAAAGTTGGCAGAACTAATTCTCTGTGCACTAATAGGATCCTCATCTGTCACTGAAACTTCTGTCTTCAGTCGGCTTTCATATCCCTGAACACAGAATTACGTAATTTTTTCATAGTTGTACACTGACATTTACAATGCTTTTAAGAGAAATTTAGAAGAAATGTTTAAATAAAGAATACGATGTTTCACTTTTTCAAAACGATGATGAAATTACAAAACATTTCAGAATATAACATTTTACTGGATTACTACAGACTGTATCCTCATCTATTTAACAAAGTCAAATATTTTAAAATTATCATTTAAAAAAAGTATATCAAAGAGAGAAAAATGCAGACTCATAGTGCAAGCAACTCACTATGACAAGAACAGAAAAATGCATCTTTCTGGGCAAGAGTCAAAGATCTGAAGACAAAGCAAACTTGTTTCAAAAAGAAGTTACAGGGGAAAAGATATAACAGGGCAGTCTTCAGCAGCTGTGGTAGCAGCCCAACAGACATGGTGCCCCGGGCTACTGCTCCAATCACTCCCCAACTCTCACCCCCAGTTATGCTACTAGTAAAAGTTGTTTGCACTATGAGTCATGAAACTGGGTTATGGCACTAAGAAAAACTGCTAACTGAGTGGAAAACAAAGGAAGAGAAGTAGGAAGAGAGAAAATACTTGAACTGACAACTATAACGTTGTATTAAAAAACAAAGAAAAATCTGGATACCCGATAGTTAGAGGAAGTCTACAGACTCTTCAAAAATAAGATATATTTAGCTTTTTTTCTAAGCAATAGCACCATGAACTGGTCAACTCATAGAAGAGTCTGAGAGGTAAAAAAAAGTAATTCTTTGTATGTGTGAAAAAAATGAGCCAAAATATTATGCAACCAGGAAACCTGGAATCCAAGGTGGCTAGTCAAACAGATGAAGGAAGATAAAAGCAGGAAGTTATCAGTAAAACTCAAGTTGACAGTGTAGTGGCCTACACAAGGCCATGTTGTAGAATTTGAGTGATGACAAAATAATGGAAAATAAGACAAATGGAACGTCCAAGTGACAATGGAAGATAAAACAGTTGGGGTTGTTTTTTTAAGAATTTTCCTCTGACTATTTCTGTAGATGAAGCCACAAATTTGCTTTAGGAAAATGTGTAAAAGGAAGGTGAATGTGAACAGCCAATTAAAGGTTTCAAAAGACATGGACAGCTGGATATTATCAATGATGCAATTTTTTTTATTACAGTTTCCATCCTGTGGTCATTGTCTTTAACACATATCCCATTCCCTCTATAATATGCCTACTTACATGTTTTTCTAGAAAACAGCAAGAGAAGACTGCTAAACCAGGCAGTATTTTGCAAATAGGCCAGTAAATAGGCCAGTAAATAGGCCTTCTTTGGATCTGGCCATTTCTTCCCTCCCCTCTTTTTGTTATTGAATATAAAAACGAGTTCTGTATTGCATTGGAAATTCAATGGAGAACCCAGAACGTATAGATTTCATAGACTTTCATAAACATTAGGGCTGGAAGGGACCTCGGAAAATCATTGAGTCCAGCCCCCTGCCCCACGGGCAGGACGTCAGCAGGGTTCATAGGATCCCAGCAAGATAAACATCCAGTTGGCTCTTGAAGGAGTTCAAAGTAGGTGCTTGAACTACCTCCGGCGGCAATCTATTCCAAACCTTGGGGGCTCGGACAGTGAAGAAGTTTTTCCTTATGTCCAGCCTGAAATGGTCATGGCAGAGTTTGTGACCGTTCGACCTTGTCATTCCTTGGGGCACTCTGGTGAACAGATGTTCCCCCAGATCCTGGTAAGCACCCCTGATAAACTTATAGGTGGCCACCAGATCACCTCTGAGCCTGCGCTTTTCCAGGCTGAAGAGTCCTATGGCTCTCAGCCTCTCTTCATAAGGTCTGTTTTCCTGACCTCTGATCATGCACGTGGCTCTCCTCTGCACCCTCTCAGGCTTCTCCATATCCATTTTAAATTGTGGAGCCCAAAACTGGACGCAGTACTCTAGCTGCGGCCTCACCAAGGCTGAGTACAATGGGAGAATGACGTCCTTGGATTTGCATGAGAAGCATCAGTGGATGCAAGCCAGCATTTTGCTTGCTTTACTAGCAGCAGTATCACATTGAAGGCTCACATTCATCTTCTGGTCAGTCATGACCCCCAAGTCCCTTTCGTTCATAATGCTAGCCACCGTAGCACTGCTGAGCCTATAAGGATGCTGCAGGTTTTTCTTCCCAAGGTGGAGAACCTTGCATTTTTCAGTGTTAAACACCATCAGGTTCTCCTCTGCCCATTTCCTCACCCTGTCAAGGTCAGCCCGGATTGCCCTCCTGTCCTCAGGCATGGATTCTTTACCCCAGAGTTTGGTGTCATTGGCAAACTTGGCCAGTCCACTTCTGATACCAATGTCCACATCGTTAATGAAGATGTTAAATAGTATAGACCAAGGACAGAGCCTTGGGGGACCCCACTGGTCACAGGACACCATGATGATTGACTTCCATCAACCACCACCCCCTGGATCCTACCACAGAGCCAATTCCCCAGCCAGGGGATCATGGTGAGGCCTAGGCCGCAGTTAGCCAGTTTTGCTAAAAGGGAATCATGGGATACCAGATCAAAGGCTTTTTTAAAGTCAAGACATA